ATTTAGATTTATTTTTTAAATTTTGCCATTTTTTTCTTACCTTCCCTCCAGATTTCTGAGGACCTAAATTTATCCAGCTAGATCTGTTTTAAAAACAACTTTTTGTCTACTTTGTCATTTAGCAAAAGGTTTTACGAACGAGTGGAAAGATTTTATTGACGTTTTCAGGAAGTAATCACTGGCTGTAAAATGTGATTAACTTTTGGAGCCAAMCAAATTCAAGATGGCCGCCACACCTAGTCAACATTAACAAATCCCAACATGGCTCTAATTCTGCCATTTTTGCTGACGTTAAGCTAACAGCAGATACGTTGGTTACTTAGATTTATTTGAAACACATACTCTGAGAACTAACACATCTTGTGAGATCTCTTAGATTGTTTTTTTTAAATCAAAACAAATATTCACGCCTGCACAAAATGCTGGGTCTTGAATTCTAGATAGTTTGGGTCAGAAGAGCTACAGCTGTCAAATAATGTTCACATTTTTATAATTTTCCTTTCAAATTAAAGCTACAACTATTAATTTTATTTGAGTTTGTCTCTCAGTGAAACAAAAACAACAAAAGAAGTAAATTTGTCGTAAAATCAAACACCTATTTAACAAGGCTAAAGTCCTTCCGTAAAAATCTTCAAAAGTAAAATAAACACGTCTATAAAGATCAAAACAGCATTGGATAAGGTTTTTGTTTTTAGGAGGACAAATAAAGGAAGTTATTCTGCATTCATGTGCAGAGATTTGTAAATCATGTAGGGTGGCACCTGCGACCAGTCRGGTTCCAGTGGTGGGCAGGGCCACCTCAGCTACCCCTCCGGCTCCGTCCCTGCTCTTATTTTAACACAGTTATGAATTTAATTCCAGCAGTCGTGACTTTATTCTTTCATTGTTGACTGTAAACATTTGACTTTATTTTTATTCTGTTATTATGTCCCCAGTCTGCGGCACTGATGTGGACGGTTACTCTAAAACTGAAGGAGCGTGGGTTCTGTCGCTCCAAAAGAGAATGTACACAGTCAACACTTTGACCGAATGTGCCACCAAATGTGACAAAGAAACATCTTTCACCTGCAAGTAAGTTCAGACTTCTCACTTCTTCGGTCTGTTTTGTCGATCAGTGCTGACACATTATGTTTTTAATTTTATTTTTTTTATAGGGCTTTTGTTTATGTCGAAAAGGATCAGGAGTGTTGGACAGCTGCAGCAAACTCCAAAACAGAGGTCGTCCTGCGCCGACCGAGCTCAGYTTTATATGAAAAAAAAAGCAAGTTGTTTCTTCTTTTTCTACTATTTGGGTGTTTTTCAGTCGCTGTGGTTAATGTTTAGTCTGTGGTGTAGGATCTGGGATTTTTGGACTGGTTCTGCAAACACACAAGAGATCGATTACGAGTTAAACATCTGCTGTTCAATTTTTTTAGGGCTAAAGCTTGGATCAATCAAACACTATAGTTTTTTTAAATCTGCCTTTGCTTTGTTTTGTATAGAGTTCCTCCTGGAGTGTGCAGATGGAATAGGAACAGAGTACAGAGGAACAAAAAGCAGAACTAAATCAGGAAAGCTGTGCCAAAGATGGGATGCAAAATCCCCCCACAGACCCAAGTATGACTCCACAGATTGGTTAATTTGTTCATTTGATACCATTTTTGTAACTTTTCTTCTTGTGTTTGCTGTAGCTACACACCACAGAACGCTCCCCAGGCAGATCTGGAGATGAACTTTTGCAGGAACCCTGACAGCGACAGTAACGGACCCTGGTGTTACACCACCGACCCAGACACACGCTGGGAGTCCTGCAGTGTACCCAGCTGTACCGGTACCAAACTTTTTTTTTAAATTATTAATTTAATTTAAAAACAAAACAAATGCTATATATGCAACAAATAATAATACAAAACACAAATAAAATGAAAGGTAACAGAAAGGAGAAAAAAATTCTGCAAAATATCAACCAACTCAGAAAATTTCAATAATTTCAATTGACAAACTGATGTATATTGATGGGTGATAGTAATGTTTTCTGGTGATAATTCTTACGGCTCTTTTCGGTAAAATAAAGATGGGATTTGTAATTGTTTTACATGCTTTCCCCCAGACTTCAACAGTAAATTAAGTGTGGAACAATTATTGCATTATATAACATAAAGAGTGCTTTGTCATTAAATAAGTCCCTTACTTYATACAAAACTGCRATGGATTTGGCTATTTTTGTTCTTAAGTGATTTATGTGAGATTTCCATGTCAGCTTTTCAAAGCACGCAAAAACTTCACCTCATTGACTCTACAGATCTCAACACCATCAACTCGAAAAGGAAAATCAGTAGCTCTGTTTCTATTACTGAATATCATATAAACATTTTTATTCATATTTAATGATAATTTATTTAGTTTAAACAAAGTTTGCATTTTAACAAATTCTGTTTGCGTCATCCCCATCCGTTCTATGTCTTTTCCTAAACAGAAAAATGTAGTATCATCTGCAAATAATACACATTTAAGAAACCCTGACATATTTACTAAATAATTCAAATATAAAAGAAATAACTTTTGGTCCAAGTATAGAACCCTGAGGAACCCCACATGTAATTTGCAGAATTCAGATCTTACATCATTTACCATCGGTGACATAGAATTGTCACCGATTCTGTTCATTACTTTCATGGACAGAATTTCTAGGCGCAGCCGAGGTGTTGAGGGGATCCGTTTTGGTGGCCTTAGGATCACATAGAATTGTCACCGATTCTGTTCATTACTTTCATGGACAGAATTTCTAGGCGCAGCCGAGGTGTTGAGGGGATCCGTTTTGGTGGTCTTAGGATCACATCTCTGCTTTTTGCGGATGATGTGGTCCTGTTGGCTTCATCGGAACGAGATCTGCAGCTCTCACTGGAGCGGTTCGCGGCCGAGTACGAAGC